AGTAAACTAGTTTCTATCCACAGAGTGTAATTATATATATATATATATATATATATAGCTTAAGGATGTGAACAGGCAGTAAGGCAGAAGTGTTAACAGACCATTGTTATCCTAATAGTTGGAAATTAGTGTAATAAACCATTTGTAAACAAGTAGAGGGCAGACAGCCAGATGAGTTTCTCTATACACAGACCCTGGGTGAAATCATGACGCTGTTGAAGTCAATGGGAGCTTGTGAATTCAGTGGTGGCAGGATTTCACCCATAGGGTTGGGTGTAGCTATGATAGACTTCCCTGGAAAGTCAAAAGCATAGTATGGTATGTTGTCACTTACATTTTGGTTCTTTTACATATTTTTCCTCCAAGCCATCTTGCAATTGGGAGAGTCAAGCTCCCTGTATTGGTTTCCTGTCTTATATTCTATCTGTTTTTGCCTAGCCACATCTTAATCACAGAGCTCGCTTTTGAGAGTCACAGCATGGTCAAGATACTAGACCTAGCAGCTATCACATTTTGCACAGGTGTCAGTCATATTGCTCTGAAGAATATTCAGACGTTTATAGATATTCACAGTGTAGGTTGGCTTTTTATCAAACTGTGCCCTGAAGTTACTTGCAAGCTCCCATGCATGAGTAACCAGAAAAATGTCAGTTCCAGGTAATGTGGATATCTCGTGCCAGTAGAGATTGATTCTGCTAGTGATCATTGTGTGTAAATGAATTGCGTGACTATTCACTGTTGTTATTTGCTCCACAAAGGTGAGGACGTGGTGGCGTGAAGCCAGTTGAAGGCTGTCTGTGGCACTTGGTAATTCTAATTCTCATTTCTCTTTTACTAGCATTATATGATTAATCAGTTACTCATTTGTTTGTCCATCACTTAGAGCTGCACAAAGTTTGGTTGTTAGGCCTTGTCCATGTCTGAATACTCGAAGGAAGGGTGTTGTAACTTACACAACCAAAATGATCATCTTAAGGGTGCAAATGGTTGTTTAAAGGGCCAGCTACATAGAGAGTATGTTGGAAACAGCTCTAATGACAGAGTAAACCTAAATTTGGAAGTTCAGTGATTACCAATCAGTTGCAAAGCAGAGAACTGTAAGAGAAATCAGGCTGAATTCACACCTTTCTGACCCAAGTGTCTGGGAAGAAGAAAGATTTCTAAAACAAGCACCGACTGGGCTATGTATTTGATATAGTTATATCTTTCTGTTGTGACAGAAATGAGCCTAATCCAAAGTCCACTGAGATCAACTGACATCTTCATGTTGGCTTCAATGGATCAAACCGTATGTTTGATCGATGGATCAAACCATGATCCCTTTAGGTATCGCTGCTTCCTTTGCTTGGTGTTTGTCACCACATTAACAATGAGATTAGGTAGGCAAGAAGAGAAAGGGACCAAGTGACCTTCTCCGTTGGATCATATGAACTGGAACCATAAACTCCCTAAACATTAAATCTCACCAAATGAGGGTCAAGCCATCCTCATCATCATATCCATTCATTATACTCCACACCCAAACACAACCATTCTATGAACTTCATACCCTCATATCTCAATGTCTGTACTTGAGCCATCAACCTTTTACCCCCAATCAGGGATATTGCAGATTATGTATTCCTCATGCCACCTGATCTTAAGCCAAACTTTGCACCCTCGATAATCTGTATGTTATTCCCTGATAACCAGAAACGTCTATGCTCAAACTCTGTTCACTACTTATTTTTTTTATCATCATCTTAATAGAATTTTTAATTCCTCCCTCCCCCTCTCCCACTGTTTCCCCCCGTCTGTCATTTTTTTTACTTGGGTCACCTTCATGAGAATATGATGTTGATGGTACAGGCAGCTCCAGAGTCATGTGTTTATCAACAATGTCAAGTATAACCCTGTCCAGTTTGCTTCACTACACAACACCAAAATCTGCTCCAAGGGCCATCTATCCCACCCAGCTATTTTTGGTCCGTCAGGGGGAAATAAAATCTTTAGGCCTATCTGTAAAACACCCAGCACACCACCCATGCTATGCAAATAAATAATACCATGTATCACAAGTGCAAACCTGAGATTAAATGCGTGTATGAATAAAGTCAAGTAATAGGGCAAGAGTAAAAACTATTGTAATTAGGACTGTGTTTAGAAGGCTTATGTGATAGGCTGGGAACTACTTATCATTGGTGCATGGGAGTTTTGAAAGAGCCTAACTGATTTTTGTGCTACTGTTCCTAGGTGTGTTAGGTAATCAAATAATTTAGGAACACAAAGCCAATTAATTTTTCCCATGAATAACAGTCACATGTTTGATTTTCAACAGGACTTGTGCTTCTCAGTGATGTAGCAGCAGGTTTTTTAAAAGGTATTTAGGTGCCCGGGGTTTTTTTCCCCAAAATATCTAGTTGCCTAAAACTCATTGATTTAATTGAGTGTTGCACGCTGAGACGATTTTGACAATCTGACCAGGCACCTAAATACCTTTAAAAATCTGGCCCTTGGTCACATGTTGGACTTTCAGTAGGACTTGCACTCTCAGGTCATTTATTGTCTTTTGAAAATCCATGCATCAAGGAAGCACTTATCAGGTTATCATATAGGCCTGCTAAAAACAGCCTTGGCTCCAAAAGTTGTTATTCTTGCTTCATTACTTGGCTTTGTTCACTGAAAATCAGCGTCACACAGACACAGAGTCTTTTGAAAATCAAAAATCTCACTTGCCAGTGAACACGTACAAATGTTGAAGGTGTTTTTAAGTCCTGATGGGGAAACAACATTTCCACTTTAATTTTTAAGCCCCGAAAACTTTTTCAGAAAAATTACCCTTGAGGGGGGCCAAAATTTGTCATACATGTTCTGAACCCAAAGAGAGAATGTTTTAAAGTAAAATTTAATTTGACCATGATTGAGTTATCCCATATATGAGAAGCATTTGATCCCCAAGTACTTAAACAAAATAACTTTTTTTGGCACTCAAATAAAATGAAGTTATTTTTAAAACTTGCCAAGAAGCTAGTCCTCAGCAAGTGCAGTCGACATCGCATAGTGTGGACCCCGCGGTAAGTAGCTCTAAGTACGTCAACTTCAGCTACATTATTCACATAGCTGAAGTTGCATAATTTAGATCAATCTCCCCCCGTAGTGTAGACAAGGCCTAAAATACACAAAGCTTCAAGATTAACCTCAGCCCCAATTGCCCAGCAGCTGGAATGCAATTTGTCGAGCAAAGGGCCCCAGTAAATTGCAATGTAGCAAACGGTGTCTTCACACAAAACCTTGCCCTGTTCTCCTGGTGTAATTTAAAATGCTGACGGAATTCCACACTCTGCTTACGTGTTCTTGTTTTTGGCCTCTGATGCCCTTAAAGCACTGGGTACACTTTTGTTACTTTGCATCTTACCAATGTACAAATCGTAAAGCCAGAGAGGAAAATAGCAAAAGGTACACAGAGCTAGGTAAGCACTTTTGCCTGGAGTGTATAAACCATGTGGACTCTTTGCCAATAAAGCATTGAGAACATCATCTAGTACTGGAGAGAGGTCAGGAGCACAATGAACTGGCATGTGCAGGAGGAAATTTTTCAGTGCTTCAATGTAGTCTTCACCATAATCTTTCTTCACGTCTGGTGTGAGATTCTCCAGAAGATGCTTTTCTTGCTTAGCCCACAGCTCAGATGTACCTTGTATGCCTGGAATAACAAAGTAAAGTACCTGGGCTTTGTACATTAACTTGACAATCCAATTCAACTGGTAAATAAGTACACTGGGTCTTTTTTCCTCCCTATCTTGTTCTGCACATCTAAACTGAATTAAAAAGTTTCATTATTTGATGGTAAGTCTGAAGTTCTTAAAAATATAACAAAAGTATTGCTAAGTTTCAGCTAGAACAGGACAGGACAGCCTACTCTAAAGTATGAATTGAGGGACTTCACTCCTTTTTCTTTGCTATCAGGCTTGTACTTTGCTAACATAAACCATATCTAAACACAGAGGAACAACCAGGAAATTTGAGAGCCCTGTCCCTTAAGAAAAACTCTCTCAGTAAGGCCATTCCAAGTTATTTTCCATGGAACGTGTAATGGGGGTTTACAGATAAAGAAAATTCTCTTTGCTTTGTAATGGCTTTGTAAACACAATTTTTAACTCTAATAAAAGGTGTTGGATAGATTGCACTGGAAACTCACCCCTTCCATTTTCATCACCAGAACAAGCACATCCACAGAGACTGGGAATGCGGGGTCCTCATAATGCCCTTCTACAGGCCCTCAACTGTGTTCTGTAGGGCCCATTCTCCAAGTACTTAAGCTAGCTAGCTACTACCACTACTTTGCTCTCCGCTGAATGCCTGAAATCTCTTCTGTGACTTGCAACTTTTGTGACATGGAAAGGAATTCTGCAGAAACCTGGTTTTCTTCTCTAACAGCGTGGAGAGAAGGAGGATTTAGAGTTGAAAGAGCTACTGGAATGTGGGCCGGGGAGATTAAAAAGATAGGAGCCTCAGTTGTATAGTAAAAATGAGTAGCACCTTGAAACAATGCATCAGGACACCCATTATGCAGATGGAACCCATTACACCGGAAACCGGTTTGATAAAGAGAATCAGATCACTGTGTAGCATGCAATTGTACCTATTATTGGCCAGATTTTAAGTTCTTAATTAGTTCTTGTGACTTCCTTAATCAAGTCAAACCCACACCGAAGTCTGCTTTTTATTTTTGGCAAGACAGGTAAAAGCAAAGAGAAGAAATGATTGCCTCCCCCATCAGGAATGACTGACAAACACTTAGACGTGCCACTGCTAGTCATTCACTACATTCTATTAATTGGGAAAGGCAAACTAAGGTTTTCAATCATCCCTTGATAAAGATCATTGCCTAAAGGTTGGCTGCTTGGAAGCAAAAAAATCACTCACTGCCTATGTAGGGGGAGGTTGGTGGGGTATTTTTAATTCCCTTAAGAAAGCTGGATCTTAATTTGAGTAATGGAAGTGAAGGATAGGAAGTAACTGTGACTGCCGAGAATCGTTCACGACTTTTACTTGAGGATGTAGGTCTCTAGGGATTAATCAGAAGGAAGAAGGAGAACTAGCTGAAATGTCAAATACCTACCTGTTCTGAAGCCTCCTGGATGAACTGCAGCAACTTTAATTCCCCATTTGGCAAGCTCCTGCCTCATTACTCCGGAAAACATGGACAGAGCTGCTTTTGATGCACCATATGCGGCAAACCTTGTCATCGGAATGCCTCCTACAGGAGCAATATAAACCATGATAAAGTTTGACTCCAGTGCTTTCTGGGCAACTGAAACTTTAGTTCAATAATTTAAAAGAATGATCATAGCATAACCCAAAATGATGCAGCTCTCACTGAGGTTAAAGACAAGACGTCGCGGGACTCGTTTTTTTCTGGCACAAAAAAATCTTAAATCAGCAGTAGCTCGAAGCAGCTGCAGTCAGAGTCACACCCGGCCATCAGTCACTTTTAAACACAGGGAGAGTAAATTGTATTGCATTTTGGGATACAATGCAGAGACTCACAATTGCTGTTATGTTCAGAAAGGGAAATCACACAGCTAACATGTTAGATAGTGTTAATAATTAAGCAATCGTGTTTTGTCCTGTTGTTTTTAATGGGTGAATAAAGGCAGTGGATTTGAAGTCCCTGTCAGTTACACAGTCTCAATTCCAGTTTTAGGCCATGTCTACACTACAGAATTATGACGACTTAACTTATGTCGGCATATGGCTACCACAGTTAGTAAATCACTTGTATATGTCCACATTTGGCTCCTTATGTCAGCAATGCATGTCCTCACCATGAGCACTTGTATCAATTATAGTGTCAGTGTGTGAGGCAGTGTGGGATGGCTCCTGGAGGCCAGTAACAGTGAATGTAAGTAACACAGCGTCTACACTGACACTGCATCGTCCTAATTACTTTGACCATGTCTCTACCCTGCTCGGGGAGGTGCAGTTACTAAATCGGCTTAGAGAGGCACTGACACCGTCAGGAGTCAAATGTAAGTGAAGACACTTCCACAGGTAGGTCAACGCAAGGCAGCTTATGGCAATCTAACTAGGTAGTGTAGACCAGGCCTTATAAAGCCACCTCATATACTGGCTGTAGATTCTCCATCTGTTTTTAACATCTGCTTGAAAAAGATGAGGCTGGAGCTAGGAGAAATCTATTAGGCCAAACCAAACTTCATCCAACTAAAAACTACATCAGTAAGGTGCCGAGAGCCCAAAGGTCACAATTACATTGCATAAAAGGGAACAGATATAACAGAGGCAAAGTCACAGGTCTCAGAATGCATTGCTCTATTTCAATCCAACAAGCCTTCCTTAGGATCAAGAAAACGCAACAGTATACTGCATAATGGAAGAGCTGGAAAACAACAAGAATTTTCTTTAAAAACTCCAAAAGCAATTACAAATTTTCATTTTTAACAAAATTTCGGGGGAGAAAATTTCCAGTTTTTCTGAATTTTTAGTTTTTGAAAACTGAAAAATTTTAGAAAACGAAATTTTTCTGTGAAAATTTTCCTTTTGACAGAAAAATTTCAACCAACTCTCGCAGGGAACTTTAGTCTCCAAAGGCCATGCTTTTACAGTGAAGAAGAGGATGGCCACAGGAGAGTATAGAACTCCCTGCATCAGATTAGAATCCTCTTCCAATAGGTCATCAAGCCCAACCCCCTGCTGCACCCACAGTTAGTTTCACTGGTACTTGCAGTACATACTCAAAATAAGACACACATAATGCAACGCATTGTTATTAAAAGGCCATTTTAACTTTTTTGATGTCTTCTAAAGGAAAAGACATTGACGAAATCTAAAGCAGATTTACTATAAACCGCCTAATCATCTACTCAGTTTCTTACTGCAATGACACAGGTTAGCTTCAAATAAAAGCAGAGAGTCCTTGTTTTTAAAACAGTCCAGTAAATTACTTATTGTCATCTGCATAATCTGAACTGACATTAACTCCTCCTTTCTTAAACCGACAACATTCCTTTCCTTTGACGTCAGTCTAACCTTAACTCTAGTTAAAGTACACCCTTCCCCCAACCAAGCACAGGGAAGCACAGACTGCATAATGCAACTTCCCTAACTGTTCTGCTAATGTTTTACCAAAAGAATGCGCACACCTTTAATATAGGCACACATTTACCAGAACTGGCCAGGGTATAAATGCAGCCATGTAAATATTTATAAGTAAAGCAGGTATGACCAAAAGCTCTCCTGGATTATTGCTCCTGTTTCCAGGTGATCACCCAAATTAGAAAAGTCAGTTTTAAAATGCTCAATACACTGTTTCCTTCACTGTAAAATTATAAGATCTCATATATATGAAAACATGACCGGGAGATAAGTCCATCGTTGCACAGAAATGTGACTTTTTTCATTGGCTTGCTGAGGGAGTACTTAATTTTTGGGTAACTAAAGTTAGGTGGAGCCACACACACAAAAAAGGGTGAAATCCTGGATCCAACAAAATCAATGGCAAAATTCTCATTAACTTCCATAGGGCCAGGATTTCACCCAGAGTATGGGCACCTGAGTTTGCTTGTACCGGAGCCAATGAGAATTTGCCATATACTTCAGTGGGAGCCAGCTAGTTGAAATACAGATCCCTTGTTATGTCACATCATCTCCAAATTTATACCAACACATTTAAAATTTGCATGAGCCAACAGTCATTGCTCAAACTAGTAAGGTGGATGATAGCCCTGATGTGGGTTCTCAAGTACCACTTACATGCATGAATTTGTCTCTTCTGTAACAAATAACTGTGCCCGCAAAACTGTATTCGCAAACATGGAGGCTGGGATAAAAATACGTCCCTCAACGTGAATTGAAATCTTTTTAATTAAAAAAAAAGATATTTCAAGCCGTAAATTGTTACCAGGCTATTCTGCATGAGTGGACTTCAACGTTGTCATACACAGAACCCTCCTGAATGGACACATCAGTTGTGTTGTGTTTGAGGACCATCTCATTGGATCCCCTGTGTTCTTTAAGCCCAGTGTGTCTAAATAGTGTCCAGACATTGCCTGTGGCTGGGGTCTCTAGGCACACTCCTGGGCAGATCTTATGTCTAGCAGCCTTTTCAGAGAGCTGGGACACTGTAGTCCAATTGCCTAGTCCCTCAGACTAATGCTAACCTCTCAGAGTTCTCCGTAGCTTAAATACACCCTATCCCAGAACTCCACCTATGGGGGCACTCGGGGTCTAACTGTCCAGTGGCACACAAGTGAAAGCCAACAAACACTCACACTCTGCACCTGACTGTGTTTAACACGAGGTGTACACAGATCTAGACAAAAATCATAAACATCCTGTCAAGGCTGCTTCCCCACTTTGAACTTTAGGGTACAAATGTGGAGGCCTGCATGAAAACTTCTAAGCTTAACTACCAGCTTAGATCTGGTCCGCTGCCACCACTCCCAAAATGCTAATTCCCTTCCCTGGGTAGCCTTGAGAGACTCTTCACCAATTCCCTGGTGAATACAGATCCAAACCCCTTGGATCTTAAAACAAGGAGAAATTAACCATCCCCCTCCTTTCCCCACCAACTCCTGGTGGATCAAGATCCAACCCCCTTGGATCTAAAAACAAGGAAAAAATCAATCAGGTTCTTAAAAAGAAGGCTTTTAATTAAAGAAAAAGGTAAAAATCATCTCTGTAAAACCAGGAGGGAAAATAAATTTACAGGGTAATCAAACTTAAAGAGCCCAGAGGACTCCCCTCTAGCCTTAGGTTCAAAGTTACAGCAAACAGAGATAAACACTCTAGCAAAAAGGTACATTTACAAGTTGAGAAAACAAAAATAAAAACTAACACGCCTTGCCTGGCTGTTTACTTACAAGTTGGAAATATGAGAGACTTGTTCAGAAAGATTTGGAGAGCCTGGATTGATATCTGGTCCCTCTCAGTCCCAAGAGCGAACAACCCCCAAAACAAAGACCACAAACAAAAGCCTTCCCCCCACCAAGAATTGAAAGTATCTTGTCCCCTTATTGGTCCTTTGGGTCAGATGTCAGCCAGGTTACCTGAGCTTCTTAACCCTTTACAGGTAAAAGGATTTTGGAGTCTCTGACCAGGAGGGATTTTATAGTACTGTACACAGCAGGGCTGTTACCCTTCCCTTTATAGTTATGACACATCCCAATACACATTTGCCTGCCTCAGTTTCCTCAGCACCCTGGAGAGTTCTTTGGATTTGGGCGGAGTCCTCTTAGGTGCCCAGGATCCTTTCCCTACAGAATCATGGCTCTGCTCTCCCTTTCCAGGTCAGCTAGTTTTCAAGGACCGTGGTTGGTCCCACAATTAGACAGAAACCCCCCACTACAAAAGCCTGTCCCTCGCTCCTGCCCAAAGCTTCCTGATGTCTTGCTCTGTGAGTCCCTCAAGTTTATATGTGCCATGGGGCACAGGTGCCAACTTTTGTTGGCGCCGGTGGGTGCTCACGCCCCCCCGGTCCCGCCCTGACTCCGCCCCCTCACTGCCTCATTGGATCCCTCCCCAAATCCCTGCTCTGGCCCCGCCTCTTCCCCAAGTGCGCCACGTTCTTCCTTCCCGCCCCCGTCCCTCCCAGACTGTTTCGCAGCGCAAATGCTGGGAGGGAGGGGGGAGAAGCAGGACGCGGCGTCCCGCTTAGGGGAGGAGGCGGAGGTGAGCTGGGGTGAGGTAGCGGGGTGGGGAGCTGCTGGTGTGTGCTCCACACTCACCATATTTTCCCTGTGGGGGCTCCAGCCCCAGAGCACCCATGGAGTCAGCGCCTATGCCATGGGGTGCTGGAACAATTTCTAGGGGTGTTAAGAGCCATTGAACCAAACTGTAAACCCTGCATATGATAGAAACCACTTCAAGCCGTGGGTCCTGCAGTACCCCCCTGCACCTCTAGTTCCAGCACCTACATTTGTGCCCCTACCAACACCTGATTTCCTTGTTCTCCTGCTGGGGATTTTCCACCTATCATGTCCAGATCTGGGCATGCTACGTTATTATATTTGTTTCTATGGAACAAGAGTTAATTTCTCTAGGATGCTACTGTTTTTATCCCTATAAAACTCTTCTTCTTTATGGGTTGGTTCCTGGAGGCAGTCACTGGACAAAACAGATGTTTCATTACAGAGGCCTATAGATAATGAAATAATAAGCAGATATGGACTTCTGAGAATTAGTAAACAGAGATGTATTGACCAAAACCTTATTCAATATTTACATCAGGTAAATGCTAAATAATTATTGGTACAGCACCATCAACTTGGAACTTTAGTTTAACTCACCTGCCATACTAGAGATATTAATTAGCCTTCCTTTGGATTTCCGAAGTAACGGTAAGAACATTTTGGTCACCTCTACATGCCCAAAGAAATTCACATCCATACACTGCTTGTAAACACTCATGGGCAGCAGCTCACCATCTGCAGGAAACCCCAAGATTCCAGCGTTGTTGACAACACCCCATAACCCTGAGGAAGAGAAGGAAATGTACACTGCTGTTACAGAGTCCCTGCTGCCAAAGAAGGTTAAGTAAATATAATTTCCCTAACAAAGAGAAAGCACGACTGTTAAAATGCCAGCTTCCAGTCTGAACGGCCAAAAACAAAGTTAGGATGCTGTGTAATTGTAGGTACATGCAGGGGTGAAAGTAAAATTGAAAACTTACCAGTACGGGGGCCGACACTCCCTGGAAGGGGCGGGGCCTCAGGCAGAAGGGGTGGGGCTGGGGATCAGCATCCCCAGCCAGCCCTTCTAGACTGCCTGGCCCGCACCACCCGGGGCTCCAGTGGCGATTTAAAGGGCTGGAGGCCCTGGCCCTTTTAAATCGGCAGCCCTGGGGCAGCTGCTCCTTTTCTCCCTCCCCTCCTGTTGGCAGCCTGGGGGGCAAAAGGGGCAGCGACGATAAAGCGCTGCTGGGGCAGTGCTTTAAGCAGGGTCTTTTGCTGCAGCGGCGCTCTAACGTCGCTGCCCCTTTTGTGCTCCCCCGTCGGCGGCCCTGCCACTAAGGACCCGGCAGGACTGCCGCTGGGGGGTGCAAAAGCGGCAGCACTTTAAAGTAAGGTGGTAGGGGCTGGTACCGGCAGCGACTTTTTATCGGTACCGGCGGCCACTTTTTACCGGTATGCCGTACCGGCCCGTACCGCCTTACTTTCACCCCTGGGTACATGTACCCACATTGTACCTTTCCTCCTCTCGGCCCACTTGCTTCTTGTAGGTGGCACACTAGTGTCATTTGATAAGGATCCTGTTTTTGGAGTGCTCCATAAAGGAAAAGTCTCATCATTATAACAATATAAATATCCTTACTGGTACAGAGGTGGGGTGGGAAATGCAGAACACACGCACGCACACACATACCAGGACAGATTTTCAAACAGGGATGCAATGGAAGCCCCTTGCAAGAGGGATAGGCACACCACCCCATAAAATGTTACAAACTATACCTGTATTTTGCACCATCTCTGAAATTTTAAGATAGGCTTCCTTAATTTGTGCAGAATTGGTTATATCCAGTTGCAGGACACAAAGTCTCTGGGAACAGCTTCTTTTTAATTCTTCAGCCCCAGCTCCTTTTTTATTTAAGACACCAGCAAATACAACAAATCCTAAATTATCAAGGTACTTCGCCAATGCATGTCCAATCCCGGAATCACTTCCTGAAACCACCAAAATCAGAAAGACACCTTAGGCAAAATAAAATACAAAAACTTCTTCCTAAACAGAGCTGTAAGAATGTTTGCCGCTGCTGTTAGTTTTTTTGGTTCACTGACTGTTTAGGAAAAATAATTATTTTGAGTTGGTCTGAAATGATTTTTTTTTTTAATTTTCATTGAACTGAAACATTAAAAATCATTTGTTTGGGTCAAATGAAACATTTTGTTCCACCCTAAAAGAAACATTTGGTTTTGTTTGAGGTGTTGTTTTTAATCTTTCAAAATAAAATTAAGATAAAACGAAGCAAATTTCAAAGTGAAATATTTCATATTGGGTTTTTAATTATTATTGTTTGGTTTTTACCATAAAAAAAATCAGTGAATTTGACACAAATCACTGACATATTTTGGGTCAACTCAAATCTGCGTGGTTTGGCAAAAAAAAACCCACGTTGACTGAAAACTTTCACCCAGCTCTTCATCATCTATTAAGAATGATATGAATGTAAAATGACTGCTGGGAAAACCATGTATACATGCACACAGCCAAATGGAGGCTGGGTAAAGGATCCTTAGAAAATGGGTCCCTGAGTGCATCGGTGTTTAACATGCAATATAAGTAGGGCTGGCAGAATTCAAGGGGTTTTTTTTTGTTTATTTGTTTTTAATAATTTTTATAGTAACAGATGTTTATTTCTAAGCATTTTTTTAGATTTTGAATCTGTATAAGTTCTCACAGCTGCAGGAAATTCTGTGGCTCAGACAATTATTTAATGACAGTGTCCACAGAGATTCAAAAAGATAAACCTTTATAACCTTTCAAATACAAACTGTCAACATCACATGTCAAAATATACAAAGCAATTATCCTTCAAGCAAACTAAGTTCTCAAACAGCATTTTTCATACTTTATCTCTCTGCAAATTTTGATTATTGATGAAAGTATTTTTTGTTGGTTTCTGTGTGTGCTGCGAAATTGACATTTACTGATAAAAATCTAATCTACTGAAGCCAATCTGGGAGATTTTAGGCCGCTCAAAGTACGGCAGTGCAGCAGGGCTAAGGCAGGCTCCCTATATGCCCTGGCTCCATGCCGCTCCCAGAAGCAGCCGGCATGTCCAGCTGTGGCTCCTAGGCAGAGGCACGGTCAGGGAGGTCTATGTGTGCTGCCCCCACCCCGAGCACCAACTCAGCAGCTCCCATTGGCTGGGAACGGGGAACCGCAGCCAATCAGAGCTGCGGAGGTGGTTCCTGCAGTAGGGGCGGCAGGTTTGTATAATTTTTGGTGGTGCCCAGAACGGGCCCAAGTCCCGCCCCTCCCCCTCCCCCCCACATCTGCCTAAGGCTCTGGGAGGAAGTTTGGGTGCGGGAGGGGTATGGGCTCTGCGACGGAGTTTGGATGCTGGGTGCAGGCTCTCGGCTGGGGCAGGAGGTTGGAGTGCAGGAGGGGGTGTGGGGTGCAGGCTCTGGGGAGGGAGTTTGGGTGCAGGAGAACAAGTGCTGCCCTTAAATCTGGAAGGGAAGCCACTGCCCCCCTTCCAGAGATCATGCCTCAAGATCCAGCCGAACGGAGTACTCAACACAGGTAGGAAAATAGGTGACAGGCTAATCCCATAGCAATTTCCCAGCCGGAGCCTGTGGCGATTGAGCAGCCAGAGGAGCAGTAGCCTTCGGTGAGGGCCGCCACACCACAGCAAGCCGCTTGGATAGGGGAGTTGGCAAGAACAGCCTCCTTCGATGACTTTGACCTCCTTGTAGACAGACTCATTAAAAACCTGTCTGCAGAAATCGTATCTGGGAGGAAGGGAACTCAGGAGAACACACCAACTGCGCACAGAGCTCCTGTATGGCGACATCACCACCACCACCACCACCGGAGAGAAGCCAGGAGAAGGAACATCAGTCACTGCTATGACCCAGCAGCAGCATCCGGAAGCTCTACCGGTCAAACCGCCCTAAGGCTATGAGAGAAATCCTCGACGGGCCCTCATCCTGCTGCGCAATCCTGTCAGAGAGACCATTCTCGTACTTCAAGGGGGTGTTTGACCATGTAGCTCAGAACGACGCGCAGCGTCCAGAGTGCCTTCACCCTCTACCCTGCATTGACTGTGCAGAGGACCTGGAACAAGACTTTACATCATGGGCAGTAGAGGCCAGACTTACAAAGACCAAAAACACAGCCCCAGGAAAAGATGGCAATTGCTATAGCAGTGGCTCTCAAACTTTTGTACTGGTGACCCCTTTCACATAGCAAGCCTCTGAGTTCGACCCCCCCCCTTATAAATTAAAAACACTTTTTTATATATTTAACACCATTATAAATGCTAGAGACAAAGCAGGATTTGGGGTGGAGGTTGACAGCTTGCAATCCCCCGTCTAATAACCTCGTGACCCCCTGAGGGGTCCCGACCCGCAGTTTGAGAACCCCTGCGATATAACATCCTGAAAAAATGAGACCCCAGCTGCCTGGTATTAACTGCACTTTTCAACAAATGCAAACAGTTCTGCTGTACTCCCAGGTCCTGGAAGAAGTCTATGATGGTGCTCGTCTACAAGAAAGGCAAGCAAGACGACCCCATCAACTGGAGACCCATCTCTCTGCTCCACCATGTAGAAGCTGTATGCCAACTGCCTCACAGCTAGGATCACAGACTGGCTGGTGAACGGAGGAGCCTCCAGCTCCATCCAGAAAGGCTTCACTTCATGCGAAGGCTGCTACGAATACAACTTTGTCCTTCAGACTGCCATCCACACAGCCAGGAGGGCACAGAGGCAATGTGCCATAGCATGGCTCGACCTGGCTAATGCTTTTGGATCGATGCCCCACCAGCACATTTTTGTCATGCTGCGAGAGTTCAGGATGCCTGAAAACTTTCTCCAACTGATTGGAGAACTTTATAAAGGCTGCACCACCACCATCCGCTCCATGGAAGGAGAGATGCCTGAAATTCCTATCCATAGTAGCGTGAAGCAAGGTTGTCCCCTCAGCCACATTGTTTTCAACTTAGCCATGGAGTCACTCATTCGAGCCATCTCCAGCGGGCTAGGCAGTTTCCACATGTACGGCAACAGCGGGAATATCCTGGCCTACGCAGACGATCTGGTCCTGATTGCAGACAACCCCGAGTATCTCCAACAAATGCTCGACATCACCAACCACGCTGCCAACTGCATGGGACTCCACTTCAATGCTAGAGAGTGCACATCCCTGCATATCAACGGCAGTAGAGGAGATTCAGTCCAGGAGACGTCTTTTCAGATTGAGGGTGAACCCATGATCTTCCTCGAAGCCAGGCAAGCATACCAACATTTCGGCACGCTGACGGGTTTCCGCATCCAGCCATCAGGCAGCTGGTGAAGAAGTGGATGTTTCTTCTCCAGAAAGCCAGCAATGAACTGGTGTGTATCTCGCACAGGCAGGGCAGTGCCAATATCCCTCGAATGGGTGATCTGTGCAACGTTGCAGTGATCACTTATACCTTACGCCTTTTGACATGCCCGGACACCACGGTGACACCCGGACACCTATGCAGGAGGTCATCGAAAAGCCAATCACCAGGACCCCTTCCAATCAAGATGTTGCCACCTACCTGAATGGCTCGCTGGAAGGCGAATTTGGAAGAGACGGGGGAGACTTTGCTTCACTCTGGACTTGTGCCCGCAACTCTACGCGATAACTGGAGAATCGTATCGGCTGCCGCTGGACGTAGTGTGAGGAACGCCAGGAGTTGGGAGTCCTGGTGCCACAGGTGAAGAACACGAACCACACAGTCCTCACTCTGAAAGCTAGAACCATGCTGGAGAGGACCCTGAAGGATGCCATCCACTGCCAGTATGTGGAAAATCTGAAGCGGAAGCCAGACCAGGGCAAGGCATTTGAGGTGACGTGCAAATGGGATGCCAGCAACCACTTTCTCCCCGGGGGGCAGCTTCACGTTAATCCACAGGGCCCAGCTTAACTGCGTTCTGCTGAACAGAGCTGTCTGCCCTGGGAATCGGGACAAGCAATGTAGGAAGTGTGACTATGCCAACGAGACACTACCCCACGTCCTGTGTAGTGGCAAGCCCCATTTCAGAGCCCGGCAGCTGCGACGATGCCTGGTCAGAGCCTCCCACTACCCATAGGAAAGGTTGCCATTAACTCCCCGGAACCATCTGCCAACAGCAACCGGACATCATCATAACTAATGAGGAACGAAAGAAGATCATCATGGTGGACATCAGATGCTCTCGACCTTCGAGAACAGGTCCCCAGCCTTCCAATGCCAGAGCTCGAGAGGTGGAGAAATATGCACCTCTGGCTGACACCTTGAGAGCTAGGGGTCACCAGGTTCAGACACACGTGCTGATTGTTGGAGCCTTGGGCGCATGAGACCCCAGTAATGAGCAAGTGTTACGAGAATGCGGAATCGGTCAACGCTACTCTCGGCTGATGCGGCAACTCATGGTGTCAGATGCCATCAGATGGGCGAGGGACATCTACATAGAACACATCAGTGGACATCGACAATACCAGGAGGGATGAGCTGGAGTGCCAATGAGAAGCGCAGTAAGGAAAGTAACTGAAAGACTTCCCTGATAGATGGTATTTCCTAAATGGACAACCTACCTTAATTCTCAATTACTGAGGGACAATCTCCACTTATTGATATATTTTGCTTTCAACAACCAAATCTCTGTACAACTTTAAATGAGTGATGTACCCCAATACTTGGATGCTAATATCTAAACTGTATTCTTAAATGTATTCACCTAAATGTGGGTTATTGCTGATTATGTATCATATGACTTTTAAAAAAAACTTTGTATTTGTGGATAATCTAAGCACTATGCCCAGATGTACAGACACTCTTTTCTCGACCGATGCATTACATAAATTTTTTAACATTAGCTTTAATAAAGTTTTTAAATCTGTTCTCTGACATGCCAGAACAATGCGTTCTTGGGATTCCCTCTAGGCTAACATGAAAGAGGCTGCAGATGTCACTAAGACCAAACAGGGT